GGGGGTTTCAGAGCTGGGGTGAGAGAACAGACAGACTGGGAGGTCCTGGAGAAAGGGTGACTGGAGGACAGGATGGGTACAGAGAACAGGTTGGTGGGGCTCAGGGGGACAGTGCAGTTGAGGCTGGGTACCTGAGAGGGTCAGGGTGGGTGGGAGAAGACAGCCACAGGGGCATGACAGGGTCTGCTCTTAGGGTGTCATGAGGGGAGTACTGAGGGGCAACCAAGAGGAGGCTTTGATTAGAAGGGGCCACAGGGGTCAAAGTTGGGGGTCCTGATTCTTCTAGGCCAAGGTGATGATCCAGGGAGAGGGTGGGGGCTGGTGCTAGGAGCCAGGATGGCCTGGAAGTGCCCACCCCTGTTCCCCAGTGAGGTCGGGAGGGGAGGGTATGGTGGTGGGTGTACAGATATGGAGTGATCAAGTCCCTGACTCTGGGGGCTGTGCCCAGCACTGCCTGGTGGCAGGGCCAGCCTTGTCTCCTGCCCCTTCCCGGCAGCAAGATCGCCTGCATCACCCTCACTGCCCAGTCCATTCCAGATCCTTCCTCAAGTCCTGGCAGAGGGTGAGAAGCCTGGGACAGGGGGCTCCTGTCCCTTGCCCGCCATGCCTCAATCCCCGTGGCTGACTCCTGCCCCTTCCACAGCAACTCCCCTAGTTGGCCTGCGTGAGAGCTGCCAGCACCGGCCTCCTCAGCCCTCCTCCTGGCCCTGCTCCCACTGCCTCTGGCTCTCTGGGTCCCTGCCAGGTCTCCAGCCCCTTGGCCTTGAGTCCAGAATGTTCCCCCACACCCCAGGCCCCATATCTGGCTGCCTTTCCCTCTCCCCTCTGGCCGCTGGCTCTGTTATTCCCACCTGGAGCCCTGTTCCTGGCCCTCAGCGTGCGCTTCTGTGTACTTGTGGTCTGTGCGTGTGCGTCTGTGTGTCCGGTGTTCCTGGCTCTGCCAGTCTCTCCATCTCTGGCCGTCTGTCTGACTGGCTGGCTGGGTACTGGACTGGCGGGCGGGGGTGTTGGGGAGACCATTAATCTGTGGTGACAGGCCGGGCTGCTGGGGGAAGGGGAGGGGTGCGGGCTGCAGGA